TGTCGGCGCGCCCCTCGCGCGTTTCGCGGCCCGATTGGGTGTTCCACCGAGAATGGTACCCACAACGCGGTGCTCGCAGATGCATATGGATGGGCCCACCGCCAGGCTAACTTTGTCAAAGAAGGTTGAGGGTGGTGGGGCTTGGGGGGGCGGGCGGGCGGGGCGCGCGCGTGGGACTTGCTTCGACGCGTGCCATGACCGATCGGTCCGTTTCGTTTTCGCGGTAGCCGAGTGGAACAAAACCGTGTCGGTCGGGAAAGGCGGGGTTGGTCGCGCGAGCGCGCGCTCGCCCGTGCGTGGATGTTTGCGCGAGTGCGTCTTCAGAACAGCGGCCCAGTGCGCGCGTTCCGCCGGCGGCGGCCGGAGGCGGCGGCGCGCCCTCATCGTGGCAAGCTCCGCCAGGAAACCGAAAAGAAAGACGCGCCCTCGCTGGCTCAGCAGCTGCATTGCGGGCGCGCCAAACGAGCCGCCAACGTCCCCCGCGCGTCTCTATGATACCCTGGCCTGGCATGTTGCGCGCGAGCTGCCGGCGCCGCGTGCCCCGTGGGGGGCATTTCGCGCGCCGCGCGCAACGTGCTCCAATCATCTTCCGCGCGATTTTCACCAGCACGGAAAATGGTCTTAACATACTCGGGCAAATTTCCCATACTTTACACATGCTCCAAACATGCTCCAACAAATTTCGGCCGGATTTGAAATTGCAAACAAATGCGCCAAAAATAATAAAAAAATACTCCGGGGATCCTCCAGCGCACAGCGTTGAATTTCAAAATGCCCGAGGATACGCCAGCGAGACTTTCGACAATTCAAAATACTCCAAACATGCTCCAGCGTCGACGGTCCCTTTTCGAAATACTCCAAAGATACTCCAGTGCAGCGCGCTGAATTTCAGAATGCCCCAAAGATACTCCAGCGAGATTTTCGAAAATTCAGAATTCTCCCAAAATGCTCCAGCGTCGATGGCGCCTTTTCGAAATACTCCAAATCTACTCCCGTGCGAAAAAATATACCCCAAAGTTCCATCGCAGCTTTTCTGAATCTCCAGCGTGGTGCACATGTATCCTGCGCCCTCTGGCAGAGCATCAAACGCATGTCTGGAGCGCTTCGAGCGGCTGGGCTGACTGGGCGCCTGGAGTGACTGGAGTGACTGGAGCGCCTGGAGTGGCTGAAGTGGCTGGATTGACTGGAGCGCCTCGAGTGGCTGGAGTGGCTGGAGTGACTGCAGTGTGTGGAGCGCATGGACTGTCTGGAATGACTGGAGTGACCGGAGCGCCTGGAGTGACTGGAGTGACTGGAGCGCCCAGATTGGCTGGTGTGAGAAGAGTGACTGGAGCGCCTGGAGTGATTGCAGTGGGTGGAGCGCCTGGTGTGGCTGGAGCGATCCAAGCGCCTGCAGTGGCTGGAGAGACTCGAGTGACTGGAGCGCCTGCTATGGATGTAGTGACTGAAATGGCTGCAGTGCGCTTGGAGTGGCTGGAAATGTCTGTAGATACGAGTGCGCCTGGAGTGGCTAAGAGTGACCGGAGCGCTTGGCGTGGCTGCTGTGGCTGGGGAGACTGGAGCGCCTGGAGTGGCTGGGGTGACTGGAGCGCCTGGTGTGGCTGGAGCGCCTGGAGTGGTTGGAGTGACTGGAGTGCCCGGAGCGCCCGGGACGCCTGGGGTGGCTGGAGTGATTAGAGTGAAGCGCCTGGAATGGCTTGAGTGATTGTGACTGGAGCCCCTGCAGTGCCTGGAGTGCGTGGAGCGATGAGAGTGGCTGGAGTTCCCGGAGCACCTGGAATGACGCAAGAGCCGGGAGTGACTGGAGTGAGCTGAGATGGGCGTTGATAGATTGGAGTGATTTGAGTGACTGGAGTGGCTGGGGTGACTGGAGCCCTGGGTGCTTGGAGTCACCAGAATGACTGAAGCGCCTACAGTGCTGGGATCGGCTGGAATGACCGGAGTGCCTGGAGTGGCTGGCGTGAGAAGAGTGGCTGGAGCGCTTGAGGTGATTGGGGTGACTGGAGCGCCTGGGGCGCCTGGCGTGAAGTGACTGGAGCTGCGCGTTTGGATTGCCGGCGGTCCTGTGGGTGATGTCGCGCGCCCGCAAGGCGAGCCCTGCGTCTGTCGTTTTTTTTTCGCGGCGCGCCAACTTGGGATGAACCGCGCTGACTTGGCTCAATGTTCAGCGATGTTGGCTCCCCCTCGCGCGAACTCACCCGGCGAGTGCGTGGCGCGTCGTCTCGTGGAACATTGGCGGCAGTTGCTATTCGCGCTGTTCGAACAGGGTGCGCCCCTAACATGACGCGCCTATCATGGCGTGCTTCGCGCGCCGAAGCGGCGAAGGGGAAATCGTAAAAACTAAGTATTATTTCTGAGGGCAGTTTCTGTAAAAAATATTGTTCCCAACCATCTTGTGGTGTTGGGCCTCGTTTTGAACAGACAGCGCCCGCGTCCTTCCTCCCGCTGCCCCCCCTCCCTCTCCTCATCATCAGCATCCACATCATCGGCATCACCGTCGCCATCATCATCGTCATTATTATCGTCGCCATCATCAGTTCGGCACACCTCTCAGGCGTTTCGTGGCCCCACAGGGGGCTCCACCGAAGGCCGCAGTGGATGCGTTCACATGCGCCCACCGTGCCCATTTCGGCACACCCCTCACAAGTTTCGCGGCCCCACAGGGAGCTCCACCGAAGGCCAAAGTGGCTGCGTGTACATGCGCTTACATGCGCCCACCGCGCCCATTTCGGCACACCCTCACACGCTTCGAAGCCCCGCAGGGAGCTTCACTGAAGGCCCCAGTGGCTGCGTTCGCATGCGCCCACCGCACCCATTTCGGCACACCCTCACACGATTCTTGGTCCCATAGGGAGCTCCACCGAAGGCCCCAATTCCTGCGTTCGCATGCGCCCACCGCACCCATTTCGGCACGCCCCCTCGCACGATTCGTGGCCCCATAGGGGGCTCCACCGAAAGCCCCAGTGGCTGCGTTCACATGCGCCCGCCGCACGAATTTCGGCACGCCCCTCGCACGTTTCGTGACCCCACAGGGAGCTCCACCGAAGGCCACAGTGACCCCCCAGACGTTTCGTGACCCCATAGGGAGCCCCACCGAAGGCCCTGTGGCAGCGTTCGCATGCGCCCACAGCGCCCATGTCGGCACACCCCTCACACGTTTCGCGGCCCCACAGGGAGCCCCACCGAAAGCCCCAGTGGCTGCGTTCGCATGCGCCCACCGCACCCATTTCGGCACACCCCTCACACGTTTCGTGGCCCCATAGGGAGCTCCACCGAAGGCCCTGTGGCAGCGTTCGCATGCGCCCACGGCGCCCATGTCGGCACACCCCTCAAACTTTTCGCGGCCCCATAGAAAGTTCCCTCTCGTTCGTTCAACCTGCCTTGTGGTACTCGCAACTGCATGTGGTTGGGTCATTCGTCAAGCTAATTTTCCAATGCAAAAATGAATTTTCGATTTTTTCAACGCGCTCTTTCGACAGCACACACCGCATTTTCAGCATTTTTTCGCTCCAAAGCTGTCTGTAGGAGAACATGCCCGACGTAAGGCTGAGGGCGGCCCACAGCCGCTGGCGGTCCAGCGACGGGAAGGCGGCGGCGATGTCCATGGAGGCGAAGGCGGGCACGTGTTCGTCGGCGTCAGCGCTGATGCTCAGCCTGCGCGCTTCAACGTCTACCAGGACGACGTCGTGGAGAAACTGGCGGCCAGTGACGAATCCCTTCTGTTCGCCAGCAGTGTTGGCGGCGACCTTGGAGAGGGTGCGATTCGCAGCGGGTGCGAGCAGCTTGACGTCGCTGTTCTTCATGCTCGGTGGGCGTAGCATGGCGGGGGGGCGCGCGCGCTCCGCGCTGCCCATGGGTTCGTCACCTTTCGATCGCATCGCCATTGGAGCGTGGTTGAGGTCGCGCGGCGTACCGTTCGTGACCACGTGGTTCACGAGGCTGGTCAGGATGTCTAGCGCGCAGGGTGTGCGTAGCCAGGCTCGGTGAAGGACTCCATCTGGTCCGAGCGCAGAGTCTCCCTCGCGGCGAGCGGCATGAAGAATGTCTTCCTCACCCGGTAGGGGGAGCTCGAGTCGTGGCCACGGGGAGCAAGACGCCATCGAGGTATTCAGCTATTGCGGGGTCCGAGGCCGTCCTGGCTGCGAAGACGGGAGCCCAGTGGTCGAGGATCTCCGCGGGCATCTTGCTCGGTTCGTAGACGGCCGAGGAGGCGGAGCCATTCTCCAACTTGATGCCAGCCGGCACCAGACGACGAGAAAACGGTTCCAAATATCCCCTTTGCGTGCTTCGTGTCGTGAACGCTGTCGCCATCGATTTCCGAGAGCAACTTCGTGTTCAGCATGTGCCGCTCGAGGGCGTGCAGCGGCACGGGCCCGATGCTCTTCACTTAGGCCAGCGGGCGTCTCGTTGGTCTCATTGGTGAAAGCGTTGGTGTCGGTCAGCAGGACGCGCTCGCCATCAATCTTCACGTACTTGCGTCCGACTTCGGTGTGGGCAAGCAACTTCTTCGCGAGATTAATGTCCAGGTGCCAGATGCACGCGCAATGCTGCGGAAGAGCAAGCCACGTACCTCCTTGCTGACGTTGCCTTCCTGCGAGGTGAGCTCAGCGGTGGGGATGGACAAGGTGTCCCGGGTGCGTCGGGCGGCCTCGTGCATCATGGTATCCAGGTGCCGCCATTGGTGAACAGCTCCGAGCAGGGGCGCGCCGCTGGCGTCGCTGATGTGCTTGGAGTGGCCTGCGCAATGCGGCGAGTCAAGTATGAAAGCAGGAACAGGTTTCTCCTGAGGGGGACGGTTGCGGGAAGAACGAATACTTAGTTGCATAATCTTGTGGTCGCTAACCATTCCATCGAGGCCTTCCAACGGCGAAGAGGAGGAGGAGGAGGACGAGGAGGAGGAGGAGGAGGAGGAGGAGGAGGAGGAGGAGGAGGAGCAGCAGGAGGAGCAGGAGCAGGAGGAGGCGGAGGAGGGGAAAAAGGATAAGCGGGAGGAGGCGCGCCTGGAGCTTGAAGATGCTCTCGATCACCCCGATCTCCGTGGCGGTGGTGTCCATGCCGCAGAAAGCGGCCCAATCGTTTGCCACGACACCCGCCCCCACGACGTCGTTGCCGCGGTTCACGGTGCCGGCTGTTAGGGGGATCTGGATGAGCTGCGACAGCTCCTCCATGTCCTCAGGGACCAGACGTGCTTGCGTCGTGAACAAGATTACGACGGGAGACTTTGGCCCAATTCCGGCCTCCATAGGGCCCTCGCCGGGCACCAGGAGCGTCAAACTACGACTCGGGATGAGAGACTGGCCCTGGGGAGACGGCGCGACCTCTGGGGAAAAAATCAAGGCATCGGATGTCTGGGGATGTTTCTTTGTTTCGGTGGCGCCCCCAAGAAGGAATGCAGAAAGGGCGGGCCTTCTCGGAAGGCTCGGAAGGGCTCTGGACTTCTGAGAGGCTCGCTAAGCCTTCTCCGAAGACAGAGACCGCTTCTCAGGGGGGCCAGAGGGCTTCCAAACAGCCCCGCCGACTTATGAGATGGCCCGCCCCCTCTCACTTCCTCGCTCGGCGCGCCACCGATGTGTTGCAACCGGTTCAGTTGGAGCGGGGGGAGGAGGAGGCGACAGGAGAGGGCAGTCGCGACAGCTCCTCCATGTTCCTCAAGCGAGCTTTTCCCAACCATCCTGCGGTGTTGGGTCCTAGTTTTGAAGAGACAGCGCCCCGCGTCTTCTCTCTCCTTCCTCCCCCTCCTCCCTCCCATCATCATCATCATCATCATCATCATCATCATCATCATCATCATCATCATCATCATCATCAGCATCATCATCACCACCACCATCATCATCAGCATCATCCCCATCCTCATCCTCATCCTCCCCCTCCTCCTCATCATCATCATCATCGTCATCATCATCATCGTCATCATCGTCATCATCGTCATCCTCATCATCGTCATCATCATCACATCATCATCAAACTCGTCACTGTCATCGCAATCGCTATCGTCATCACCATTACGGCCGTCATCATCATCACCACCATCGTCATCGTTCCCTGCCCATTCCTGGACGCCCTCACACGGTTCGTGGCCCCATCAGAGGCTCCACCGAAGGCCCCAGTGGCAGGGTTCGCATGCAGTTCCACCTCATTTCGGCGCACCCCTCACACGGTTCGTGGCTTTATAGGGAGCTCCACCGAAGGCCCCAGCGGCAAGGTTCGCATGCAATTCCGCCCTCATGTCGGCACACGCCTCACACGGTTCGTGGCCCCATATGGGGGCTCCACCGAAGGCCACAGTGGCAAGGTCCACATGCTCCTGCCCGCCCACCGCATGTCCATTTCGGCACACCCCTCACACGGTTCGTGGTTCCATCGGGAGCTCCATTCAAGGCCCCAGTGGCAGAGTTCGCATGCGTTTCCCCGCCCACCCCAGGTCCATTTCGGCACGCCCGTCACACGGCTCGTGGCCCCATAAGGAGCTCCACCGAAGGCCCCAATGGCAAAGGTCGCATGCGGTTCCCCGCCCACCGCGTGTCCATTTCGGCGCACTCCTCATACGGTTCGTGGCCTTATAGGGAGCTCCACCGCAAACACCAGTGGCAAAGTTCGCATGCGGTTCCCCGCTCACCCCAGGTCCATTTCGGCACACCCCTCACACGGTTCGTGGCCTGATAGGGAGCTCCACCGAAGGCCCCAGTGGCAAAGTGCGCATGCGGTTCCCCCCACTCCGACGACCTCATCTCCCTCGCGGTACTCGCAGCCGCTTAAGCTATACCGCGTGCGCTACTCGGAGTTTGCGCGGCCCCCCTCCTTCGTCCCATCTCCATCGCGGTACTCGCAGCTGCATATGGTTGGGTCCTTCGTCAGGCTAATGCGTTGCACGGAGTCGACTTGGAGCGAGGGGAAGAGGAGACGACAGGCGAGGGCGGCTGCGACAGCACCTCAATGTCATCCAAGAGGTTTTTGTTGCACTGCGTTCATTTGGAGCGAAGGCGAGAGGAAACGACAGCAGAGGGCGGCTGCGACAACTCCTCAATGTCCTCCGAGAATTTCTTGTTGCACGGAGGGGGGTTTCCCAACCATCCTGTGTTGGGTCCTCGTTTTGAAGAGACAGCGCCCCGCGTCCCTCCTTCTCCTCCCGCTGCCTCCTCCTCCTCATCATCATCAGCATCATCATCATCATGAAAATAATGATCATTCTGATCATCATGCTGATGATCATCATCGTCATCGTCATCGTCATCCTCATCATCATCATCATCCTCATCATCATCATTGTCATCATCCTCATCATCATCATCATCAGCATCATCATCATCATCAGCATCACCATCATCATCGTCATCGCCATCGTCATCATCATCGTCATCTCCACCACCACCACCATCATCATCAACACCATCATCATCAACACCACCATCCTCGTCGTCGTCATCATCATCAACATCATCATATTATCATCAGCGTCATCAGCATCGTCATCAGCATCAGCATCAGCATCAGCATCAGCATCAGCATCAGCATCAGCAGCAGCATCATCATCATCATCATCATCATCATCATCATCATCAGCATCATCATCAATGCGTCTCTAGCGCCCAGTACAGCGTTTCGTGGCCCCAGAGGGAGCTCCACCGAATGTCCCAGTGACGCAGTCCGCATGCGGTTCCTGCGCCCAGTACAGCGTTTCGTGGCCCCAGAGGGAGCTCCACCGAATGTCCCAGTGACGCAGTCCGCATGCGGTTCCTGCGCCCAGTACAGCGTTTCGTGGCCCCAGAGGGAGCTCCACCGAAGGTCACTGTGGCGCAGTGCGCATGCGGATCCTGCGCCCAGTGCAGCGTTTGGTGGCCCCATAGGGAGCTCCACCGAAAGTCCCAGTGGCGCAATCCGCATGCGGTTCCTGCGCCCAGTATAACGCTTCGTGGCCCCAGAGGGAGCTCCACCGAAGGTCCCAGTGGCGCAGTTCGCATGCGCTTCCCCCGCCCAGTACAGCGTTTCGTGGCCCCAGAAGGGGATCCACGGGAGACGATACCCACAACTGCGGTACTCACAACTATATATGGTTGGGTTCTTCGCCAGGCTAAATGTTGTTTTGTTCTGCACGGCGTTAATTTGGAGCGATGGGAGGAATGGCCGACATGAGACGGCAGCACAGTCATAGTTATTGCCGATCCACTCACCGGTCGTCAGTGTGCCGAGCGTGGGAGTCAAGGGTCAAGAGTGGAGCGATATGAGCCGTCCTCCTGGAGTTTTTTGCTGTGGGCCACTGCATGGCAGGCTGCTGGAGTGACTGCACAGCACGAGCTCTTCACGAACCGACTGGCGCACGGGGCCCTCCGAACTCGAGCTTTCCCGCGGCACCAAGCCGACATTGCCCGTCTTAGATCGTTGACTCGATACAATCGGGCTGCTGAAATAATGAGCGCTAGATCAGGAACGAAGCCCCTGTTTGGCCCCGCAAGCGCCTGCGTGGACGAGGAGCGCACGAGAAACAGTCATGTAAGGACCTACGATACATCGAGCCCCTTCGCTTGACTCGCCTTCGTCGAGCTCGTCGTCGTCGCCGTCGCCGCTCCCTCTCTTTTCCTGGGCCCGTCGCCGTCCTCCCCTTTTCTTGGGCCCTCCTCCTCAAGCGCGCCAGCCGAAACGAAATTGAGCAACGTCGTAATTGAGTCCAGGGCAAGCCTCTTCCATTTGATCCCTTCCCCGCCAGGGGGGGGGTGTCCCGGGGGGGGGTGTCCCGGGGGGGGGTCTCGGGGGGGTCCCAGGTCAGACTGCCACTCCCCCCCTTGGGGGAGCCCGGGGCCCAAAAAGTCCCAAGACGAGCCAAGAGTGCCCCAAGAGGCCCCCAAGACGGTCCAAGAGGACCCCGCATCGCCGAACGATCGGTCCAAGACGTCCTCACGGCCTCCAGACGGCCCAAGAGGGCTGGAAGACGCCCCAAGAGGCCTCGAATAGCACTCTCAAGAGAGCCACAAGAGGCAGAATTCATTGATTTTCCGGAAGTTTTTCAAGGATTTGGGCGTTCTCGCCTTTTCAACTTCCCGACGCTCCGAAACGGCCCAAGAGGCTCCAACGATCGCCCTAAGATGCCCCTAAGAGGGTCCCGAAACGGGCCAAAGAGGGCCCGAAAACGGCCCAAGACGCCTGCAAGAAGGCCCAAGAGGCCTCCAAGAGGGCCCCCAGACAGGGGAACCAAACGGACATGTCGAGCCCTCCGTTCCGAGAGGCTCCCAGGAGGCCCCAAGAGGCCCCCAAGAGGCCCCCTGGAGGCTCCAAGAGGCCCTCAAGGGACCCCCAGGAAGCCCCAAGAGGCCCCCATGAGGCATCCAAGATGCTTCCAATGGGGCCCCCCAAACTGCCCCCCAGAGGCCTCCGAGAGCGCTCCGAAGAAACCCCAACAAGAATCCCTGAGGACTCTGACCCACATCAGCGTCGTCGTCGTCGTCGTCGTCGTCGTCGTCGTCGTCGTCGTCGTCGTCGTCGTCGTCGTCCCCCTTCAGGGTCGGCGGCACTGGCCGTAATGCCTTCGCAATAAGGAGCGCTAGATAAGGAACGAAGCCCCTGTTTGGCCCCGGAAGCGCCTGCGTGGACGAGGAGCGCACGAGAAACAGTCATGGAAGGACCCACGCTACATCGAGCCCCCTCCGAACCCAACCCGTCTCTCATTTCAACGAGCTGACTGTCCGGGTAGTCGCGCGGAGCGCGCAGAACGGGAGGAGGAAGTGACGGGTGAGGAGTTGGGGTCGGGACCTTCGTGGGCCCCCGTGTCGGGGGGAGGGGCCTCGTCGCCACGGCTGGCTTCGCCTCGAAACGCTGATCAGAACGCGTGCCAGGACAGGCCCCGAGGGGTCGATCTCGAGGGGGGAGGTGGGCGGACTGCTGTAGTCTCACCTGCCGCTGCTGCCCCTCTTCGGAGACTCTCGTTGCCACGGGCGGACGCGATGGTGCCCTGGAGGGGGCCCAGGACTGGTTCTGAACATATTTCGGTCTCCACAGCACGGTTCAGAAAAGACATCCCGCGTGAATCGGGTGGCGAACCTCGCTGGACAGCAAAAGGCTGTGACCTACGGCCGTCGTCGCGGAGGAGCCCAAGAACATCGCAAGCCCACCAAGGAGGAGCGAGAAGAGGAGGAGCGGAGATTCGAGGCTGAGAAAACTGGACTCGTGGGTCCTGTGT